TGGGCAATCTAAAACAGCAACATCTCACAATGAGTAGTTGTTGTAGTAGACTGACATCGTCTCCTAAAACTCTGCTATCATCACTATTCCACATTTTCAGTAAAACTATTCTAGTCCCTGCTAAGTTTCTGAATGATATACAAGTTTTATAAGAAAGTCAGACTCACTACCAAAACGTATTGAATTACATTTGTGGACAGGACAAGCAAATGCTTCATCGAACAGTGGCTTTTTTTTTTTTTAAAGAAACAAAAACTACTGTATGTTTTTTCTGGGAATTGTTCACCTCTGTACTGAAACATCAAGTGATAACTTGCCTGTTTGTGAGCCATCAAAAATATAACACTACAAATTGAGCTTTCACATCACCTCACATCAACTCCATCACAATGGTCCTCTCTCCCAGGAGAGTCAGTTCCCACATTCAGTTCCCAGTCAATTGCCTGCATGTTTATTTTATTTTATTTCCAATATTTATAAACCGCTTTTCACCATAAATGGTCTCAAAGCAGTTTACAGAACAAGAAATAAGAGTCATTCATCTGTCAAATAATATGGTGCTGAAGACAATAGAAAACAGTGGAAAAGCATAAAAAATGGCTTCATGCAATCGTTCCAGAGCTCTGGTTCCGAAAGTGGTTTAACAATCAACTCTGCTTCACAGGGAACCCTAATCACTCTCAGCACCCTTAACAAATGACAGCTCCCAGAATTCTTTGGGGGAAGTCATGGCTGTTTGGAGGAATATCCAACAAAAAGTGTCATAGTGCTTAAAATGTGTGCTTTGAATTATAATGCCTGCTGGAACAGAAAGGTCTTCATCAAGTGCCTGACATTCAACAGGGAGGGATCCAGTTTGATCGCAGCTGGGAGAAAAGTCCACAATATTGAATGCATGGCTTCTGGTGGATACCTGAGCCATGGGGGACCTCTAGCAGAGATTCCCTCAGTGATCGGGGAGAGATATAAGGATTCAAGAAGTCCATTCTGGGCCCAAGATGTGACTTCCCCTTCTCCTATCACCAGATTCCTGCAACACTTGTGTCTAGCAGCTATTTGAGCTGACTCGATGGGAAAACATTAGGTTTGGGATAATGGAAAGTGATCTGTGGCAATCTGTTTCGTTGGGCCATTCAAACATGGTCAAGGAAATGGTAATCGAGTCTGGGAAATGCAAGTACTGATTTGTGTGAATGCACTAGCCCAAAGGCAAAGCTTGTGGCTGCAATGGGAATGATATTGAGAGGCAAGTATAGTTCCCTGGGTTGAGTTTGCTGTTCATGGTGGATGCCTGTCAATCTCATGAAAACAAAAGGGTTTGCATATGAACTATCTGACGCTATTGTACTGAGAAGCCTGAACAAACATGGATGTCTGTTTCCACATGCATTTTATGGCAAGTCCTCCTTTCTCCTTCATACTAATGTCAGCCATTGTACTCTGATTTGATTCTTCTTTTGGCATAAGAGAAGGAAGTGAAAATGACAGAATATGACTGAAACACCACCTTAGCATCTGCTGTCTTCTATGACAGGTATAACAGCTCTGAAGGAACCATTAGGAGCCATCATGACCCTGCCAAAAATAAAATAAAAATAAAGAAATTCTGTCTTTGTACAGTTTTCCACAATAGACTGTAATTACAGCATATGGGGTAAATAGTATATGTTGTCAAAATTAGTATGCATGCCAAAATACATGTTTACTCTAACGACTAACAGCTTTGAAGTACTTATTTTGGTCTATCAGGTAAATAGCACACTTCTATAAGCAGTACAAATGTATATTATTATATGGTATGTGTGTTATTACATAATAGACTTTAGTCACTTTGGAAAAGATAAAATATTCAGGCATATCAGTAGAAATCATGTCAAAATCAATGACACACTTGGAAATCAGTTCTTTATTCTGGGCTGTCCATAGCCCCTAAACTTCTACCTTGAGAATAAATACATTAATAAAAATACCTACAAAAGTAAACTAAAAATGATGCAGAATTGTTTGCATATGTTATTATTAAAAATATTGTGAAGTTTATTATTATTACTACTACTATTATTTCAGTTTATTAGTTGTTTGCCATAAAGGAGTCTCTAATCAATCTACAAAATTTTAAGAGCATGAGTTATAAAGGTAAAGGTAAAGGTACCCCTGCCCGTACGGGCCAGTCGTGTCCGACTCTAGGGTTGTGTGCCCATCTCACTTAAGAGGCCGGGGGCCAGTGCTGTCCGGAAACACTTCCGGGTCACGTGGCCAGCGTGATGAAGCTGCTCTGGCGAGCCAGCACCAGCGCAGCACACAGAAACGCCATTTACCTTCCCGCTATAAAGCGGTACCTATTTATCTACTTGCACTTAAGAGTGCTTTCGAACTGCTAGGTGGGCAGCATGTGGGACCGAAAGACGGGAGCTCACCCCGCCGTGGGGATTCGAACCGCCAACAATGCAATCGGCAAGCCCTAGGCACTGAGGTTTTACCCACAGCACCACCCGCGTCCCTAGCATGAGGTATAACATAACATAAAAAAGAACAATATGTTATAAGTTATACAGTAACCTATAAAGCAGACCCAGTAAAACAGCAGCAAAAATTTCAGCCGGAAAAAAATCAGACTATCGACAGAAATAATCAGAATCCGTCAGGCACCTGGGAGAAGATATAAGCTTTTATGGGGAACTGAAAGGATGTTAATGATGGATCTTAAAGGATTTGACCCTTGCAACTTCATTCCAGGCATGATCTAGGAGAGCTAGTGTGATGTTAATGATTAGAGTGCCAGTCCTTGATTCAAATTTCCACTCAGCCTTGGAATTTAGGATGCAACCCTAATCCCAGCCAGACTGGCGGGGCTTAGTGGAGTACAGTGGCCACAGCTGCAGCTGCAGCTGTGCCAAACATGCAAGTTGGGGCTTTACACTGGCATCACTTCTGCTTCCCCACACATTTGATGGGAAGAAGGGGGGGTATCCATGCTGGAAGAGTAATGCTGGCAGAGGCTGGTGAAGGTTAGCAGGGCTGAGCGGAGATACACCCTCGCTGAATTCAGTTCCGCATGCCATTGCAGCATGGAGGGAGTCTGCCACTGGGAAACTGGACAATCACTTTTTCTACTTTCTTGGGCTCCATGATCACTGCAGATGGTGACAGCAGCCACGAAATTAGAAGACGCCTGCTTCTAGGGAGAAAAGCAATGACAAACCTAGACAGCATCTTAAAAAGCAGAGACATCACCTTGCCGACAAAGGTCCATATAGTTAAAGCTGTGGTTTTCCCAGTAGTGATGTATGGAAGTGAGAGCTGGACCATAAAGAAGGCTGATCGCCGAAGAAGTGATGCTTTTGAATTATGGTGCTGGAGGAGACTCTTGAGAGTCCCATGGACTGCAAGAAGATCAAACCTATCCATTCTTAAGGAAATCAGCCCTGAGTGCTCACTGGAAGGACAGATCCTGAAGCTGAGACTCCAATACTTTGGCCACCTCATGAGAAGAGAAGACTCCCTGGCAAAGACCCTGATGTTGGGAAAGATGGAGGGCACAAGGAGAAGGGGACGACAGAGGACGAGATGGCTGGATAGTGTTCTCGAAGCTACCAGCATGAGTTTGACCAAACTGCGGGAGGCAGTGGAAGACAGGAGTGCCTGGTGTGCTCTGGTCCAGGGGGTCACGAAGAGTCGGACACGACTAAACGACTAAACAACAACAATAAACTGAGGATGGTAGTTGAGGTAGAACCACAATTCTCAGTCTAATCTACAGTATACAATTGAACTTCTTGGAGAAAACGTGGGATAAGCATAAAAATGAATGGATATTTGAAAATAAACTCCATGAATTTTATTTCATAACATTGATACACTGCTTGATTGTAAGAAAAACAAAACCGAAAGGTTAGGATGGCAGGCATCATGCTGCATGGAAAAGACAGGAATCTCTGTGAATCAAGTGGAGAAAAGTTTGGGCTGAGCTTTGGCCCAGCATCTTAATACTTTAGGTAGAGAGTAGCTCAAGTTCAAATGTTTTCTTTTCCCCCTTGTGGTTTCCATTCATCCTGTTCTATTGCCAAGGCACTTTGCTTTGGCCTAGAACAGAATCTGAAAGCAGACCATCCTTTGTTGTAGCTTGAGAAGCTATACATCAACCTTACGGTCCTATTTAGACTCCAAGCAATTTCCTATGCTTGCACAAAAGCGGAGAGCTGAAAATACAGGAAGCATCGTGACAGACACCATTTTCCACTCGAAAAGCTATCTGTGGCGTTCAAATCCAAAAGATGGGGAAAGGCAGGTTTGTATTGCGGGCAGAATTGCCTTTGCTTTTCTTCCATAGCACTTAAGTGTCATTTTAAGCCAGAGGCAGGAAAGGCTTTCATTGACCTTCCATTCTGGCTGGAAGTGTGTTTACTGTGCTCCCTTCCAAAACAGAAGGCAAGGATCCTTCCATTTATCAGCGTGTAAAAGTTGAACAGATTGCAAGCTGAATTTTCTCCTTCCCGGCAGTGTTGGGTTTGCCCATTGTTTGCTGTGACAAAGGGTGAATTTCAAAGGGAGAGGGGAAATGATACTGCAGCTTGGATTGCTTCCTCGTTTTCCTCCATATCACCCTCTAGGCTAGTCATCAGCATTCTTCAGCAATCCTAGAAATTGCCCAAAAGGCTGCTAGAAGCAGTATGTTCAGAACACAGCAAGTTCTGCGCTGGGATCTCTTACGGTGCAGTCATACATGCACTCTCACTGGGAGAGAAAAGGCACAATTAAGCAATGTCTGTAGGGGATGTTTGCCCTTGGCATTTGCAATTACAAGTGTGGCATACAGGCTTTACACATTCAGGTCTTTGCTGACATTAGTGAATCCATCTGGCGGGAGAAACTCCAGAAATGTACCGTGCGGCGAGAAGTCCCACTGGAGAAGAGCACTTTGCTGGGCTTTGCCAATTGATTGCTCTCTGAGCTTCACTGTGTTTTCTCCTGCAGCTCTACTCAGGCTTTCCTTTGCAGCGAGAACTGTAGCTCAGCGGTGGAACATCTGCCTTTCATGTAGGAGGCCCCAGGTCCAATCCTTGGCATCTCCAGATAAGGCTGGTAGAGAACCCCATCTGAAATCCCAGAGAGACACTGCTGGCCAATGTAAGCAGAATAGAGCTAGATGGGGAAATGGCCTGATCCACTATCAAGCAGCTTCCGTGTTCCTTCCTATGTTCCTTTTTTTTTTTTTAATTAATATTTATTGAAGTTTCACAAAGAATAAAATCACATTGATAAAAAAGAAAAATCTGAAAATAAAGGAAAAAAGTACACAATACAAAATACAAAATACAAAAAGATAAAAGAAAAAAGAAAAACAGTTAAAAACAATTCCGTCTTTTCATAACTTTTTTTTTTAAATTTACTTGTTTCCCAGACTTCCTCATACCTCTCTCTTTTGTATTCCAATTCAGTTTGTTAGTCCAGCAATTTCTTTCCCTCCTTTTTAATCCCAATGCTTAATCTTAATATATTGTAACATTAAGTTTTACCTATTAAAAACCAAATTTTCCATTCTTTTAACCTTTTTAATCCTAATCCTTAATCTTGATATATTTATAATTTTGAAGCCTGTACAGCTAGAAGCCAGTTAACTTCAATCCAACATCACTCTAACATTCATTAATTTTGCAATATTTCTGTAAATAATCTTTAAATTTCTTCCAATCTTCTTCCACCAACTCTTCTCCCTGGTCACGGATTCTGCCAGTCATTTCCGCCAATTCCATGTAATCCATCATTTTCATCTGCCATTCCTCCAGTGTGGGTAGCTCTTGTGTCTTCCAATACTTTGCGATGAGTATTCTTGCTGCTGTTGTAGCATACATAAAGAAAGTTCTGTCCTTTTTTAACACCGATTGGCCGACTATGCCCAGGAGAAAGGCCTCTGGTTTCTTCAAGAAGGTATATTTAAATACCTTTTTTAATTCATTATATATCATCTCCCAGAAAGCCTTAATCTTTGGGCACGTCCACCAAAGGTGAAAAAAAGTACCTTCAGTCTCTTTACATTTCCAACATTTATTATCAGGCAAGTGATAGATTTTTGCAAGCTTGACTGGGGTTATGTACCACCTGTATATCATTTTCATAATATTCTCTCTTAAGGCATTACATGCCATAAACTTCATACCTGTGGTCCATAACTGTTCCCAGTCAGCAAACATAATATTATGTCCAACATCTTGTGGCCATTTAATCATAGCAGATTTCACCGTTTCATCCTGAGTATTCCATTTCAACAGCAAGTTATACATTCTTGACAAATTCTTAGTTTTGGGTTCTAACAGTTCTGTTTCTAATTTTGATTTTTCCACCTGGAAGCCAATTTTCTTATCCAACTTATATGCCTCCATTATCTGATAATAATGAAGCCAATCTCTCACTTTGTTTTTTAGTTTCTCAAAACTCTGCAATTTCAATTTGTCTCCTTCTTGTTCCAGAATTTCCCAATATTTTGGCCATTTGACCTCCATATTGAGCTTTTTCCTATGTTCCTAGACCAGGGGTCAGCAAACTTTTTCAGCAGGGGGCCGGTCCACTGTCCCTCAGACCTTGGGCTGGACTATATATTTTGAAAGAAAAAAATGAACAAATTCCTATTCCCTACAAATAACCCAGAGATGCATTTTAAATAAAAGGACACATTCTACTCATGTAAAAACACACTGATTCCTGGACCGTCTGCAGGCCGGATTTAGAAGGCTATTAGGCCGGATTCGGCCCCCAGGCCTTAGTTTGCCTACCCATGTCCTAGACCCACACACTCCAGAATGGCAACAGGAGACAGTTCTAGGATGAACCAGGAGTGGTATCTTCATTCATTACCTCCCACTGTCTACCACACATGGGAAACTCCATCCACGACCTGGCATTGAGTTGGAAGTTAACGAAAAGCAGCCACAACAACAGTTTGCCAGATAGGCAATGAGTGTAGTGGCTAATACTGAATACATTCCAGAAGGACCTAGAGATGGACCCATGTCTTCAGAAGCAGGTTTTGTAGGAGTGTTGCAGAGTATACCAGACATGTTCTGGTAATTAGAAGTCCAGAAATGGAAGACTGACCTACTGGCCATCATTGAGGGCCGAAGATTGAATGAACATCATGTGAACAATTTACTGGTTCCATTTGTGCAACTCATTTAAAGCAGCATCATATCACTTTAAACAGCCATGGCTTCCCCCAAAGGATCCTGGGAACTGTAATTGATTACAGGTGCCAGGATATGTTAGGAGACCCCTCGTTTCCTATCGGAGCCACAATTTCCAGAGTTCCCTGAGAAGAGGGATTGATTGTTAAACCACTTTGTGAGTAGAATAGCTGTCTCCTAATAACTCTCAGCACCCTTAACTCACCACAGTTCCCAGGATCCTTTGGGCAAAGTCATAGCTGTTTAACAAGGTATGTATGGTGCAAGATGGGGCCACTGTGGGCAAGACTCAGTCACAGTGGAAACCACCATGGAGGGAATGCTTAAACACCACACCTTTAGGGAAACTGTCACACGCACTTGACAAATCTGTAAGCTGCTTAGAGAGTAAATTGCACCACTTTAGAGTGTTGGACTTAGACCACAGAGACAAAGGTTGAAATGTTCAGCCTGCCATTAAGTTCACATGATATCACCAGGCTTCCTCAACCTGGAATGTTGAAGACTGCAGCTCCCATCACCCCCAGCCAGTATGGCCAATGATCAGGGATGATGATCATAATCCAGATCATCTAGTTGGAGGAGCCTGTCTCACAGGATTGTTGTGAGCAAAAAATGGTGTGTGGGAGGAGGAAGCTAAATAGACTTCACTGAGCTTCTTGGAGGAAGGAAAAGATTGAAAACACACACACACACACACACACAGATGGCTGACAGTTCCACAGTGTGTGCGGCCCACTGGACACTAATCTATCTCCACGTGATTGCTAGGAGACATTTCACAGAATTGTAGAATTCGAAGGGACTCCTAGGGTCCTCTAGTCTAACCCACTGCAACGCAGGAACCACAGCTTTCGACTCTCTGACAGATAACCATCCAACCTCTGGTAAAAAAAAACTCTAATGAAAGGGTAGGAACCAGCTCCACATAGCCTCTGCTCAGCAGAATAGCTGCTGCTTTAACCCGCCTTAATCCCATCCCCCAATAACCGCATTGTGGAGCAGAAGTTAAGTTCCTGATTTGATCTTAACCCCAGATTCTTTTGTAGAAGATGGTTTTATGAGCGCTTTTGATCTTCACTATGAACATCAACCAATGTTTACTCCGGCGACTTGTTTTTTCTCTGCATATGGTTCTAATTCATAGCATCTTATGCTTTGTTTCCAAAGGTCTGGAGATACAGTCCTTACTTTCACAAAGAAAGGTCGTGCTCTGTTGTCTTCTTGATCATTTCCCATCAGCAATAATTCAAATTTTTCTAGTAGGTGCTTCAGCATTGCAAAGGTTTATTCTTTTACAGGAGCAAGCGAACCAAAGTGTCATGCGAAAGGCACATGGATCCACAGAGTTGCTTTCCTTCATATTTCAAAAATCATTTATTTTAATTTATTCCTCTGGGACTTAGCATCTGGTTTTCACTAAAAATCTTCATTTCTTTTTACTTGGTTTTTTTAAAAACATATGCACATGTAAATCAAGTGATTCAGCCACCTTTGTAAAGTTATTTATTGGCCCCAAGAAAATTGAGACCCAACCCTTTCTTGAATAATAGATACCGATGTCTCTTCATATGAACAGTTCTTTGATTTCCTAGCACAAATACACTGAAAAATGTTGGTGTTCATTTAGGATTCTTATCCATCTTTGGGGTGGAACCTTTTGTGATTCAGTAACCAGTATTTTCAAAGTATGCCTTGCAATAAATAGAAGCAATAAATGTTCACATGTATATACTTCCTGTAACAATGATCTTGAGATTAAAGGACATCTGATAAGAGAATATTAGATTTTGTAGAACAGCATCTTCCACTGAAAGTCTTCCATTTAGGAGAATAATAGTTTAGCTCATTTTTAATCCTGTGCACAAGTATAAATAAAGTTTGAGATCAAAATTATGGTAGATTTATTCGTTTTGTGGAAATGTATTTTTAAAATTTGCAGATGAATGTGTGCACGGACACTAGAGAAAACAGAACACAGTTAGGGATGATAGAGAAATTAGATTCAATCTGCATTTAAAAGTGGACCTACCTAAATCTACCAAACAACAACGTGAGAACCAAAACACAGCCACCCTTTGAAATTCACAGATTTCTGAATTGGCAATGCACTTCTCTAATGTGTGCAAAAAATGCAAATACAAGGGTTAATATTGTGCATTAAAAATTTGCTTTATTAGAGGGAATGGCTTTGCAAAAAAAAAAAGTATTTTGGGCAAAATTGCATGTAAATATGTGTATATTGGGGGAATTTGCCTGAAAAAAAATGTGTACATTAGGAGAAATTTACACTAAAATGGCAATGAATTTTCATAAGAACTTTTAAAATAAATAAATAAATAAAACAGATACAGATATGGAAATTTACAGAAATGAGGTAGTTGGCTACCAGAGACAGAGATCCTCTTTTGGGGTTGGCATTCCAAATCTGGAAATCGATCGCCAAAGAGTCATTGCAACTTTTAATTAACATAAATTTATATGTCCGTTAAATGCTTTTTGGTGGCTTCAGGTAGGCATGTAGGTATTGACTCTGACATAGACATTTTTAAGCGGGGCTTGAAGATTTTTCTGTTTGAAGCTGCTTTTCATGCTTATTTTTGTGCTTGCTAATTAAGTGTGTGTGTTTAAAAAAACTTCTCTTTTTTATTTAAATATATATGCTATGTTTTTTATGATTCATCTTGTTTTAACTGCTACTGGTATAATGCTTTTGGATGTTTTCATTTTCTTCATTGTGATTTTATACAGTGTGGTCATCCTATTATGAATTCTGTGTTTTAAATGCATTGTGAGTTGAGTTGGGAGAGTTGGCCCATCAAGATACTGGAAATAGATAAACAAATCCTTTGATGGGGTTTCATGCATCTGTACCAATATTCTGCTTCAGTATT